TTCTCTAGACATACTCTGTCATCGTCACCGCCTTCTTTCAACTTCAAAGGCACGTTGGTCTTTAGACATTTTCTGTCAATAACACCAGATCAGAGTGATATTTTTCCAGTAGCTGCTTTTCAGATACATCCTGTCACAGGTGCCACCTTCTTTCAAGATCAGAAGCACGCTGCTCTGCAGACATTTTCTGTCAATAATGCCGGCATCTTTCAGCTGCAGAGCTATGTTGTATCAACAGTTGTTCTTTAGACATAGTCCCACCTCTATACTGTCATGGTCTGAAATGCAGGTGAAAGAGAGTCCTGGCTATCAGGCTGCTGAGAGCTGTCTGCCCAATGGCTGATTCTGTGGTGGTGGGACTTCCTCCTTCCTGCTGTCAGTTTCCACAGCTGTGATGAGGAAGCTGGGGTAACAGAGGGAGCCACACCCTCCAAGCCGCCCTCTCTCTCTCTCGCTCTGCTCTATGTCCAGCGGTCTCCTGCTCTGCCCAGTCCTCCAAACCTTCTGCTCTCTACCTGCTCCTCTCCTGCTCTGCTCTCCGCCGGCAAGGTCCTGGGAGCCTGTGGGTGTGGGTAGGCGCGGGAGGCCTTGGCTCCCCAACCGGCGAAAGTCCCAGGAGCCCACGGATGTGGCTACGGTCTCGCCTCCCGGAGCCAGCGAAGGTCCTGGGAGCCCGCGGGCATGGGTAGGCGCGAGCAGCCTCCCCTCCCCGACCGGGAGCCTGTGGCCGTGGCCGCCATCACCTCCTGGGGCGCCTGACACCTGTGTATGCAAATTAACCACCATCTTTGTCGGGTTAATTTGCATAGTCACTGATTGGCTTGTGGGTGTGGCTTGTGGGCATGGCTTGAGCATAGCGGAGGGATGGCTAATTTGCATGTTTCTCTTTTATTATATAGGATAGTATTAGAAGTCCTAGCCACAGCAATCAGACAAGGCGACAACATAAAAGGCATCCAAATTGGAATGGAGGAAGTGAAACTCTCATTATCTGCAGATGACATGATATTGTACACAGAAAACCCTAAAAATTCCACCAAAAAACTACAAGATTTAATAAATTAATTCAGCAATGTAGCATGGTACAAAATTAACACCCAGAAATCTATGGCATCCAATAATGAATTCACCTAACCAAGGAGTTAAAAGACGTGCACTCAGGAACTACAGGACACTGAAAAAAGAGACAGAGGAAGAAATAAACAAGTGGAAGAATATACCGTGTTCATGGATTGGTAGAATCAACATCATTAAAATGTCCATAATACCAAATGCACTCTAGTCAATGCAATCCCCATTAAAATGCTAATAGCATATTTTATAGATCTAGAACAAAATACTCCAGAAATTTACATGGAACCAAAAAATTCCCCAAATATCTGCAGCAATCTTGAGAAAGAAGAACAAAGTTGGAGGAATCACAATACCAGATATCAAGCTACACTACAAAGCCACTATAATCAAACAGCCTGGTACTGGCATAAGAACAGGCATATAGATCAATGGAACAGAACAGAGAACCTAGAAATCAAGTGAAGCCATTATACTCAATATCTGACGAAAGGGGCAAGAGCATACAATGGAATCAAGACAGTAACTTCAATAAATGGTGTTGGGAAAATTGGGGACAAGGCCTAAATAAAAACAAAGTGAAGAACGGCGTCTTCCAGGAGCAGTAGGAGCAGTGGAAAAGGAGGAATGACAAGCACTGGTCCAATTTCCCTCTCTGCCCAGGCAGTTGACATTCCCACCCCACCTTTCTCAAACCTGAATGAATGCATAAGAAATAAATATGTGAGAGAATGAAAAATAATTGGAAAAATTGTTTTTAAAAAGTCTACCCCAGAGGCTATTGTAAAAAAGACAAGTGACAAGTGTTGGTGAGAGTGTGGAGAAAACAGAACCATATTCTGTTGGTGGGGATGAAAATTGTTGCTTCCACTAGGAAAACAGTATGGAGTTTCCTCAAAAAATTAAATATGGAACTGCCATTTGACCCAATGATTCCTAAGAAACCCGAAGCACCAATCAGAAACAATGCAAGCACCCCTATGTTCATAGCAGCACAATTGACAATAGCTAAGATCTAGAAATAGCCAAGTGCCCATCAGCAGACGAGTGGATAAAAAATCTGTAGTATATTTACACCAGGGGGTACTGTGCAGCCGTGAAAAAGAAGGCTCTCTTACCCTTTGAGACAGCATGGAGGGGCCTGGAGAGTATCAAGCTAAGTGAAATAAGTCGGTCAGAGAAAGACAAGTATCATGTGATCTCACTCCTATGTGGAATCAAATGAAAATAAACTGATGAACAAAACAGGTTCAGAAGAGATCAACCAAAGGACTTTTATGCATGCATATGAGCATGACCAACAGACACTAACAATAGGGGGGTGAGGGCATGTGCTGGGGAGTGGGAGCAGCTGGGGAGAGGTCAGTGGGGGAAAAAGGAGATATATGTAATACTTTAAACAATAAAGAATTATTTTTTTAAAAAAGAAAATAAATGTGAAAATATTTAGAGACATAAAGTATGTAAAAATCCCTAACATCTTATTACATGATGAACAGGGGATTGTAGTGATCTCTTTATTTATTTTATTTGATTTTTTTACAGAGAGGAAGGGAGAGAGATAGTTAGAAACATCGATGAGAGAGAAACATCGATCAGCTGCCTCCTGCACGCCCCCCTACTGGGGATGTGCCCGCAACCCAGGTACATGCCCTTGACCGGAAACAAACCGGGGACCTTTTAGTCCGCAGGCCGATGCTCTATGCACTGAGCCAAACCGGTTTCGGCGACAATAAAGCTTTTAAAAATAAAAATAATAAACATTTTTTAAAAACAACAACACAAAACAGTAAGAGGCAAAATAATACACAGCTGCCTCCTGGTTTAGAAAACAGCTGAATGGTGCAGCAGGGGACAGGTGGCCCTGCTCCAGCAAGGGACAATGTAGAATGGATGTTCAGTGAGCTAAAGGTCAGAAGCCACAGCACAGTGAGGGCCCAGCTCCATTTGCAGACTAGTATTAGGTCTGACCTTTGCAAAAAGCAGAGCTCCAAGAGAATGAGAGGTATTATCCTAGTGCTTTTGTCTCTGAGGATGCCCAGAACAAAGGCTTATGTTGCTTTAAGAATAATTTCCAGCTAAAATCTCCAAGGCCATAAGATTAACAAAGATGTGTGCTTTCCTGAGACCGAGCTGGTGTCTCAGCTCAGCCAGCTGCTTCAAATATTCCAGGAGCCTTCTCTGTGGAGCCGAAGCCGGGAGGAGAATCTGGTGAGGATTTCAGAGAGCAGCTAACGTGTCAGCTGCACATGTCATCCTGACAGCACATTTGTTTTAGGCAAGGCTATATTTACAATTCCCCAGAACAAAAAGAACAACAGAAGCGGAGAGGAAAAGAACCAATCCAGCTGACATACTTGTTAAAAAAAGAAAAAACCTCTCAGAGGTTTCCACTTGTAGAAAAAGTCACTTGTAGTGGATAGCTCAGAACTTACTAGTCAAGGCCCCTAAGAGCCTGGAGTACCCAAACAGGAGGGTGGGAGGGGATTCTATATCATAAACGACACTTTAGTGAAAGTATTCATTCAAAGAATACAACTAACCGAAGTATAAATTAGCTGTATGGGTGTGAGTCAGTGGTCAGAGCATCTGCCCACACACTGAAGGGTCTAGGGTTTGATTCCCAGTCAAGGTCACATATCTGGGTTGCAGGTTCAATACCCGGCTCGTCAGGGTGCATCCAGGAGGCAATCAATCGATGTGTCTCTCTCATATTGATGTTTCGCTCTCTCTCTTCCCTCCTTCCACCATGCCCCCCTCCCTTCCACTCTCTCTAAAAAAAAAAGTCAATGGAAAAAATATCCTTGGGTGAGGATTAACAGGAAAACAAAGTGTAAATGGAAACCAGACAATTCTACATGGTACAAAATCCCTGAGTTTCAAACAGAAAATAAATGAATAATATCCAGCAGAGAGGATTTGCTCATCACCATCACTGACAAAGAGACTGGTATCAAGATAAGCAGCTGGGGCGGTGATGCAAATTATAAATTTAAAATGAGAATCCTTTAGTGTGCCCTTAAGTTCAGTAACTTATGCAGAAATGTAATTAAAGACTTTCTGACCACCTAGCCAGGGTTGAATGTCAAACCTATGAACCAGGAGTCACAGTTTGATTTCAAGTCAGGGCACATGCTGGGGTTACAACTGGATCCCCAGTACGGGGAGTGCAGGAGACAGCCGATCAGTGATTCTCTCTGATCAGTGATGTTTCTATCCCTCTCCCCCTCTCCCTTTCTCTCTGAAATAAATAAAAATACATTTTTTTTTAAAAAAAGACTGATCATCTTTGTCAATATATTTTCAAAGTGGAGGCCTCCGATAAAGAGCTGAACATAAACCAGGACAGTAAGGCCCTCACAGGAGAGGCACTGTGACCAGCCCTGACTGGACAGCAGGCTGCCAGGCTCTTTGGGCTCCTCGGCTGAGTTTCAGCAGTTACGCAAGGGAGCAAAACTGCTGCAATAACATAGAAGGGCGTCACCAGGCAGAGCACCCCAACCGGTTTCAAATGATCAACCCTCCCAACTAAGTGCTTTCCGAATTAGAGGTGAGAGTAATCCAATCATGTTAATGCAGAGTAGTCATCCTTTGAAATGACATCATTCAGAAACATTCTGTACCTCTCTTGATACAAAAATGAAGTGCAATTAACATATAGTATTTGCACAATCTCAGCATAGTTCTGGGTGAGCAGAAAATTCACTGTCACTATTACTACTTTGTATTAAGGGTCAACTGGTCAAGATTCAATTATTTCACAATAAAGATACAGTAAAATTAGTCACACATCATCTCAATTACTCTTAGGTAGAAACTAGAATGTCAACTGCCAATGTTCCATTTTCAAAATAGAAGTGGAAAGGCCCATCTCATTTCCAATGAGGTATCAGGAGAGATTAGCTCCAGACAGAGCACGTCATGCTTACATCATCTCTATATCGGGACTTGTGTATCACCACTGCTTTGGAAGGGACTGTGGACTCAGGTTTCCGGATGTTAAATTCAGGCTTCGGTCTGGTCTGTTCTTGCAGAGTTTTCCACTCATCTAGGGTCATCTCTTGAACTTGAGTTTCTTCTTCTACCTCCAATTCAGGAACTCTGGAAAGTTTAATCATAAAGAATAACTTTTGATGGGTTTGAAATGTCTACTTTCTCAAAGAAAAAGTCACGGCCATTAGTTTAACATACTTTCATGACACCGCATCTCAAATCTAAAGAAGATAAGAAAATCTTTGGGCCAAAAGCTTCCTTGTTTTATTTTCACGATTTTATGCCATCACTGCCAATGCGTCCTATCTGTGTTCAAAGCCATCTTTGAAAAGCAGGAACATTACCATCCCAATGACAGGCACCTGACCACCAGGACTCCCTTCCCAGGTGGCATTGCACATGACATGAGACAATTGTAGAGGGAAGTGGGAGAAGCTACTGAGATAAAACAAAGGAAACCATGAATACATTATAAAACAATGGGCCACAAATGCCTACTTTTATAAATATTCTCTTTAAATTAGTTTTTTTAAAGAAAAAGAAGATAAGCATGTAGAGTAATGAAACCCAGAAATAAATCCTCACATTTATGATCAACTGATTTTTTTGGACCAGAATGCCAAAGACAAAAGGAAACAGTCTCTTCAAGAAATGGTGCTGGGAAAACTGGATATTTGCGTGCAAAAGAAAGAAGTTGAATCCCTACCTCACACCAAAATGTAAGAGCTCCCAGTATGAAACTCTAGAAAACATAGGTGTAAACCTTCATAATTTGGATTAGGCAATGGTTTCTTATATTGACACCAAAAGCACAAGCAACAAAAGAAAAAACAAATAAACTGGGCATCACCAAAACTGAAAACTTTTGTGCTGCAAAGGATACCATCAGGAAATTAAAAAAGACAAAGCAAAGAATGGTAGAAAATATGTGATAATCATATATCTGATAATGGACTTATATCTAATAATGCATCAAGGACTCTTACAACTCAGTGAAAGAAAGGATCCAACTCAAAACCAGGCAAGGCTCTGAACATTTTCCCAAAATAGGTCTGTAAATAGCCAATAAGATGCTCAACATCATCAAACATCAGCGAAATGCAAATCAAAACCACAACAACTTTTATCACTCCACCATCACTGAATTGTTTAGACACAAAAGGCTATTTTAAAAGTGTTGGTGAGCCCTGGCCCAGTTGGTTTGAGCGTTGTCCCAATATGCCAAGGTTGCAGGTTCAATCCTCGGTCAGGGCACATACAAGAATCAACCAATGCGGGTATAAATAAGCGGGACAAGAAATCAATCTCTTTCTTTTTAAAAATCAATCAATAAATAAATAAGTGTAGGTGAGGATATGGAGAGATTAGAACCTTTTATATTTCTGGTGGAAATATGAAATGGTGTGGCCATTTTGAAAAATAGTCTGACAGTTCCTCAAAAATTTAAACATAGCGCTACCATCTGACCCAGCAATGTCATTCCTAGGTATCTACACTAATAAAAGAGAAAGATGTAAATTAACTATACCTTCACAACGCACACCAGCCAAATCAGGAGTATGCAAATTAGCGGGACAAAGATGGCGGCAGCCACAGAGCCAGCCAGAGTGAGCGGGAGGCTTGGGTCACCCCTGGCAATGGAGGAAGCTAAGCTTACTGCTTGCCCAGGCTGGCCGCCAAAGAGGGGCCTGTGGGCAAGGAGCCCATCTGGCCACCAAAGGGGGAGCCTGTGAGTGGAGGACACAGAGCCAGCCCGGGTGGGTGCCGAAGGAGGGGCCAGTGAGCAGAGGATACAGAGCTGCCCAGGCAGGCACGCGGAAGGCTTGGGTCACAGTCGCCCGAGCTGGCCGTCGAGGGAGGGGCCTGCAAACAGCCATCAGCCCCTCACCCAGGCTGGCCACGCGCCCCAGTGGGGACCTTCACCCCATGGGGGCGTGGCTGGCCTGCAAACCACCATAGGCCCCTTGTCCAGGCTGTCCTGGCCCCCAAGGGAACCCCCACCCTGATCCGGGACACCCTTCAGGGCAAACCAGCCGGCCCCCAACCTGTGCACCAGGCCTCTATCTATACTAATAAAAGGGTAATATACTAATTAGACTGGGAGACCTTCCAGACGTTCTTCTGGACAAAGCCATGGTGGCAGGGCCAAGGTAGAGGCGGTTAGGGGCCAAGAGGAGAGGGCAGTTTTGGGTGATCAGGTCAGCAGGGAGGTAGGGGGGTGGGCAGTTGGGGGTGAGCAGGCTGGTGGGAGGGAGCAGTTGGAGGCGAGCAGGCCAGCAGGCAGAGTGGTTAGGGGCAATCAGGCAGGCAGGCAGATGAGCAGTTAGGAGCCAGCAGTCCTGGATTGCAAGAGGGGTCCCAGATTGGAGAGGATGCAGGCCCACGAATTTTGTGCACCGGGCCACTAGTACTAGTATATCCAAGAGCAATAAAAACATGAGGCCATGTGAAAACTAACAATCACATAAAAATTCAATAATGCTATTTATAGCATCATTATTTATAATAGGCAAAAAGGAGAAAAACAGCCTAAATGCCAATATGTCAATCAGCTGATAAACAGATAAACAAAATATGGTCTATCTACATTATAGAATATTATTTGGCTATAAGAAGGAATGAAGAACTGATACATATTACAACATGTATAAATCTTGAAAACACTGTTATGTGAAATAAGTCAGCTACAAAAAGTTTATGTATGATTCAATTATATAAAACATCCAGATGCCCTAGCCAGTTTGGCTCAGTGAATAGTGTCGGCCTGCAGACTCAAGGGTCCCAGGTTCGATTCCAGTCAAGGGCATGTACTTTGGTTGCAGGCACATCCCCAGTAGGGAGCGTGCAGGAGGCAGCTGATCGATATTTCTCTCTCATCAATGTCTGTAACTCTCTATCCCTCTTCTTTCCTCTCTGTAAAAATTCAATAAAATATATTAAAAAAATAAAACATCCAGAAAGGGCAAATTCATAGAGACAGAAAGCAGATTAGTGGTAGCTGGGACTGGGGTCAGAGAGGTAGGGGTTGAGGGGAGAGGGTGAATAGGAATTGAGTGTTTATGGGTGTGGGGTAATGAAAATGTTTTAGAATGAGATAACGGTGACAGTGGCAAACATTCTGAAAAGTACTATATGTCACTTAATTGTACACTTTAAAATGATCAGTTGGTTAGCTCAGTTAGTTAGAGTATCATCCCAATATGCTAAGGTTGTGGGTTTGATCCAGTCAGAGCACGTATAAGAAGCAACCAATGATGCAAAAATAAGTGGAACAACAAATCAATGTTTGTCTCTCTCTCAAATCAATAAATTTTAAAAAATGATCAAAAATATAAATGTTATGTTATACATATTTTACCACCAAAAGAGATAATAAAGAAGAAACGAAGTATTAATACATCCTACGACGTGGATGAACCTGAAAACATTATGCTAAGGGAAATAAGTCAGACGCAAAAGGACAAATATATTCCACTATGTGAGGTACCTAAAATAGGTAAATTCATATAGACAAAGTAGAATGGGGGTTATCAGGGACTGAGGGGAGAGGAATGGGAGTTATTATTTCATGGGCACAGTTTGTTTACAATGATAAAAAAGTTCTGAAGATGGATGGCAAAGATGGTTACACACAGTATGAATGTAATTAATACCACTAAACTGTACACTTGAAAATGGTTAAAGCAGCAATTTTTATTATATATACTGTACCACAATTTTTAACATTTAATAATGTAATATACCAGAAACCACTGAATTGTACAGTTCAAATGAAGGAAGTGTATAGTGTAGGAATTGTACAAGGCTTAAAAGAAAAAAATCATTAATGGGGAGCAGGAAGGGGTACAAATCTGTAATACTGTCCTTGAAAAGCTAATGTAATTTCAAGTTCTAGATTATAGGTTAATGATATAAAAAACCTCAGCAAAATCAGGAGAGAAACCTAATCACAGAGGAAACAAAATAGACACAATTGCAAAGTGACTTTAAATGCCAAGCTGATGGTGGAAAGAACATCAAAGCAGTGGATGCCTCTAAAGAAGCATGAGGGAACTTCCAGGTGATGGTAACATTCTACACCTGATAAATATGCCATTTATCAAAACAATGAATGTACTTATTTTGTACATTTCACAATAAATAAATTATATATCAATTTAGCCGATGGGCATATGTGTTTATTGTAAAATTCTTTAAACTTTGCTGTGCTTTAAATTTGTCATAAAATATGTTGAAAATATTAATATTAAAATATATCCCAACCCTGGCCAGTGTGGCTCAGTTGGTTGTAGCATTGTCTTATACACCAAAAGGTACAAAAAGTGGTGGGTTCAATTCCTGGTCAGGGCTCATACCCACATTGCAGGTTCGATCCCCAAGAAGAAACCAATCAATATTTCTCTCCCACATGGATGTTTTTCTTTCTCTCCCTTCCTCTCTCAAAAACAAAAGTCCATAAAAATTATTTTATATATATATATATATATGTGTGTGTGTGTGTGTGTGTGTGTGTATGTATCTTCTAAACTAATATTGGCAAAAATATGAAAAGACATTAAACGTTGTAATAGCAAAATAATGGAAAGAAACCAAACTCATCTAGAGAGAAATTTGGTGGAAAATTACAGCTATTAAACAGCAGAATATTTATCAGTTTAAAAGGTAATGAGAAATATCTGTATATTATAATTGCTATGTAGCATCCCCTGCACATATGGATGAAAAAGCAAAGTGGAATAGAATGTATTTTAGTATTCACCTAAGAGAGACATACAAATGTAGAGACATAATAGTTTTTTTTAATCTACACTAATAAAAGAGAAAAATGGTAATTGGCATACGACCGCTACCCTTTTCATTGGCTAATCAGCGAGATATGCAAATTAACTGTCAGCCAAGATGGCAGCCGGCAGCCAGGCAGCTTAAACTGAACATGAGGCTTGCTTGCCTCAGTGAAGGAGGAAACCAACGTTCCCTGCCTGAGTTGCTGGCCTCTGAGCCTGCAGTTTGAAACATTTTAACAAATACCTCCAGACTTCAGCCAGCAGATTTGCAACATTGTAAGCAAAGGCAGAAACCTACTTTCAGCCACAGAGGCCTAAGAGCTT